TGTTTATCGGAGCGCTTGATCTGCTGCCCGCTCTGATCTGACCCCTGAAGCCAACCCGATCACGACGACCTCTCGTCGGGCCAGCCTCTCTCGTCCACCCGGCAACTCTGGCACCCCTCCCCACGCACACCGACAACACATCACTCGCCAACAGTGAAGAGTGCACAGAGCCGAAGCGGAAACACATGAAACAGCCGCCAGACAGTGTGAAAGTGTAACTCGATGTTGGCGCTGAAACGACAAAGTTGTTGGGCCGCTGTGTCGACTCGTCGTGCCCTTTGGCTGATTAATGGGGCCTGACGGCACACCTCTTCAACATGGCCGTAATCACAAGTGCTCGAGACTGATGCTCTCTTTCTGTGTCCGGACGCGCTAATTCACACCCAATTGCTGGCTGATGTGACAGACTCACAACCATGTGGCGCTGGATTGCGCGCCAAGTGGGCTACCATTTGAGATGTATTCAATCTATGTCGTGGAAGCTGAATTTTGCCACATTCATAATAAGTTGAATTTCACATAGCCTTGCTTTCGCAAAAGGATGAGAATACGGCAATGTGAAATTGAATGGAAACGTCAGTTCAACTCATATTCCCCTACCAGTCCTTTTTGTGCTGAAACGAAAGTGGTTAAATACATGTCATACTACTGATTTACTGTTTGTCTCGAAACTACCATTTGTTGGAATGTCTACCAAACAAGATGTTTCCTCAAGCCATGATCTCTCGCATCACCCATCTATTTTATCCCGTAATTGGCAATCATTCACTCCCTCAACAGCTCCGACCAAGGAGACCTTTACTCACTCGAGCCGAAGATACAACGTGCTCATAATTCCTGGCAGAAGAAGAATTTTCCCATAATGATACGAGTTGAATTTCACATTTGTCTTGCTTTTTTAGCACAAATGTACAAGTTAACATAGTGACAGGAATGCTTTGTATGTTATCATCTGGTGGGAGGGATTGAGGGAGAGGGGAGAATGGGTGGCTGGATGGAGAGATGGGAAGGTGGACGGTAAGATTGTCGAAT